TTTAATTAACTAATCAAGTTCAAGTCAACCAAATTGCATAATATTGCATATCATTCGATTCGGCTGATCACACGGAACACAATGACACCATTTTTTTTTTAGCTCTAGCGTCATTAGGGGAGAGCGGGGCCAGTTGAACCACTTTTTATATATTGACATGCACAGCGAGATCTAGTTGTCATATCGAAAAATGCACAATGCCATGAAAAAATATGCTCTTTTGGCTTTATTTTAAGATATGTAAAATTATGTTTCAAACATATTTTGCTGCCAAACGCATTCTTATAAAACAGCTCTACGCCCGTTTCAAATGACCCCGATGCGAGAGTCAATTGAACCAGCCCATGGGGTCAATTGCACCTATCCTTAACAATGGGATGTTTTCCTCTTTAAGGCCACTTTCTTAAGGAGATATTTTGTCCGGTTTACTTTTCCAAATGTTACATTCAATAGATCGTTGGAAAGCTTAAAGTGCAAAGTTCCTCATAATAGGTGGCATGAAGTACATAGACTATGGTAAAATGGGCGAACGAGAAAAATGAGAAATATCTCAGGCTATAGTGTGCTTTCAAGCAAAAGGCTGGAGAAAAAGGGGTCAAAAATTGAGCTCTATTAAACTTCTATTTCAGTTTAAAACCTCATTTCAAAGGTGGACTGTTTCCTTCAATGTTAACAGCCCCTGAACAATAACCATTGCAAAGGTCACCGGAGTCCATTGAAACGGCCTGTGGCCCTGTTTCAACTGACCCTCAGAGAAGCGTTTCAATTGACCCCATCCGCTCCCACCATCTTGCACGCGCCGTAAAGCACATGTCAAACGAGCTGGAGGGACGGCATCATGCTGAATGAACTATGAAGGGCCAAATAAGGTGTTATTCCGGAGCCAGGAGTTCTTCTTTCAGCAAACAAAGGTATATGAGATATCACAAAATATTCACAAAAACGATTTCTCCCAAACGCCCCTCAAAAACACAAAAAAAAGTGTCAAATCAAAATTACCGCCCGTTTGCCGCCCAAACGCCGTTGACAAAGGAAGTGGTCGAGCGCGGATGCGCAGTGGTGTCGGCAACGCCGTCGCCATATGTTGCATATTGTTGAAAATAAAGCCATGTTTCATCTGACCCCGTGTTTCAACTGGCCCCGCTCTCCCCTATGTCCCAAGTTATTGGCAAAAACGTCATTTGACCTCAGTTGACCTCATTTGACCTGACCCATGGATAAGTACACCAAACAAAGAAGCACCAAGTGACCTGCTGTTACGTACTGTGGTTTCAAAGCACAAAAGTGATGGAACAAAGCGGATGTCTCCAGTATTTTCCGAATTTAGTATTTTCCCATAGGCTTAACATTACGACGTAATGACCTCATTAAACTCCTATTTCAGTTTAAAACCTCATTTCAAAGGTGGACTGTTTCCTTCAATGTTAACAGCCCCTGAACAATAACCATTGCAAAGGTCACTAACTGACCAAACAAAGGTCACTAATGACTAACTGACCTCAGGTCAATGACCTCAAAAACCGAACTATATGTTATACAACTCGGTGAACTTAGCACATCCTGAGAGTTTGAAGGAAATCAGTCCAAAACTGTGAGTTGGACAGGTGTAAAAAGAAAATTGAAATTTGACCATGACCTTGTACCGTTTTTTCTGACCTGGTGACCTGACCCAAGGTCACCCGGACCTGAAATTTTCAGGTCATATTTAAAAACGTTGCCCCATAAGCTGTGCCAAATTTGGCGACGCTGCGCGCCGCCGTTTTTACGCTATCTTCGAAAAACCTTAGGGGGTGGGGTCGCATCGACCGCCCCCTGCCAGGGCGAGGGTTAAGTTTTATTTTATTTTGGCTGTTTCCAATCAGCCGGACATTGGCAAATGCTTGGGCACATGAATAGAATGACGAGGAGTTTATAGGTATGATAGCTCCCTAATACACAAAGCCAAGAAATACAAAAACTTATTTTGTTTTTATGTTAACCCGCGCCCGGCTGGGGGTCCTGGATTTCCACGCCCTGCTGGGGGGGGGGGGTGTTTGAACACCCCCCCTTCTAACTCGGCTCCTGGGCCACGTAGCGATACGCGGAAGGCGGCGTTCGAAAGAGCGTCAAAAATAATGAGGAAATCACTTCGGTCAATTTTTTGGTCAGGTCAAAGGTCAGGTCACCAGAGGTCATTGAAGGCAAAATTTCGCCGATTTCCAGGTCGAATGTCGACAATTTCCAAGAAGCCAACGCATAACTCGGGAACCAATAGAGCTACAGCGCCGCGGAAAAGCGCATTCGATAGCCCTATTAACGCCCTTTCTGAGTAATTCTCTCAGATTTGACCTAACGTCAACGGTTTTGCCTGCAGGGGGCAAAAACTGCAAAAATAGCCGATTTTTTCGGAGACAGTTTTTCTGCAATAACTTTTGACCCAAGCCTTGTACGAGCTTACTTTTACCGGCATCGTGTTCCTCTCGTCAAGACGCATCGAATGAACTATAACTTGACCTTGAAAGGTCAACTTAAAAATTTGACCTCAGGTCAAGGTCATGACCTGACCGGAAAGGGTCATGTTGCATATCAGTCGATCCGTATCATCGAGCTGAACACATCTAAGGCGTTTTCATCGCTCTAGCATGCCTCTATCAAAAGTTATTTGCGAAAAACTGTTAGATACCATTCGTGACCTAAGATGACCTCAGGGCATAAACAGGGGTCACGGACACCATTTTCATGTTCAGTGTGTCTAAACCACTTGTAATTCAGTGTTTGGGAGTGTTTATAATGTCTTTCGACCAAAGGAGGCGCATTTCAATTTTCTCCCATTGACTTATAATGGGGAGGTCGCAAAATTGACCTGACCTTAGGTCATCGATATCAAAATTCTGAGATATACATTTTGTACATGCTATTGCTCTTAGCAATCGCTGAAAGTTTCAAAGCGATCGGTCACTCGGTGTAGCTATGACAGACATTGAAACTTTTTATGAAGTGAGGTAACTTCAAGTGACCTGGTGACCTGACCTTGAATGACCTTGGTCTGAAATTTTCACAACATGTGTAGAATTGATGTATGATAAGGTGTACCAAAAACGGCGGCGCTCCGCGCCGCCGTTTTTGAGATATTCGCGAAAAACCACAAGGGGGGGTGTTCAAACACCCCCCCCCCCAGCAGGGCGCGGGTTAATATCAGGCATAACAATTCAGAAAACTATCGGTCGATTGTTTTTTCTTGTCTATCAATCGCCAAGGATAACAAAGGTGTGTACCTACTAAAGGTAAACAATCTTCGGACGAGTTATTAAACTCTAATAAATATAATTCAATTACTCTTATTGTGTAGGAATAAATACACAGTTTCTTAAAGAATTTGGACTTTATATCGGTTTCGCCAACAATTGTAGTGATGCGCCACTCGAGAAGCTAATCGAAGTTGGGCAAACGTCTCCCACCTCCAGCGGCTACTCCTTACCACCGTCCGGGCGATGCTCGAAAGGGATGACTTCCGAATTACTTCTGCCCGGACGCTAAGCTCGAAATTAGCTCGTTTCGTCCCGGAGAAATGTCGGAGGGTGCCGTCTCCTAACGAGACAAACAGGGGCACCACCCGACCAGCACATTGAGGACGGAAAAGATTAAACGAGACGCGTTTCTTCGCCATCTTATCTCACGGTGAGTGGTTTCTAGTTAAAACGACGAGCTTGACTGTGTTCTTAAGAAAGGCTTTGATAATATGACATTCCAAGCATGATAGCATGGAGGTCGTAGTTGTAAATAAAGACTACGATGCCTCATTAGTAGCATACATATTAGGGGAGAGAGGTCATATTGCGCCACCTTAAGGATATCGGCCTATTGCGGCTAAAGTTGACCAGCTGTCATGCTTGATGATATCTCAAATTCTACCTCAGTTATTTTGGCATCAAATTACAACTCCTAATTTGTATCACACCCATAAAAACTAACAAGAGAAAAGTTTTCCGACACACCTGCAAAGGGCGCATTTACGGACTACCCCATCAAAAAGCGCCCATGCCTCTCATGTAAAAGCGCCCTATTAAAAACAACGGTTTGCCACCTAACTAAGTTGCCTATTTGAACGTGTCAGCCCATTAACCATTTATGCTGTGAAGGCTAAGGTAATGGTAAGGTGAGTGCTCTAATAATCAAAGTGTTCAATGAAATGTGTCCCAACCACCAGATACTGTTTCTCTGAGTTGAAGAATAGGGCGCAAATAGGGTGGGCGCAATTACGAATGGAACACATTTTTCATGAGCTTCAAATATGGCGAGGACAGCGAAGCCACGGTGGTGAGAAACTTTCAAAACTACCATAAAACGAGCAATTAACAATGATTATTAGTTGAATCACTATCTCTAAGATAAACCATGACACTAGCAAAGGTCGAAATAGACTGTTTCGCGTAAGAAAATAGAGGAAATCACAAAAAATGGTCTGCGAGAAAGCTGAGATACCTCACCTGCCCCCGTGGACCGGAATAAGAGCGAGTTATTGGTGGTGAAGTAAATGCACACATTCGAGCATTCATTCGAATCGAATTTTGGACAGGAGGAAGGTGTGGCGCATTTAAGAACATGGCGCAATATGACCTCTCTCCCCTACTCACTTATGCCGTAGCTCACTTAGCGACTACCTTTCTTTTATGGGTGAAATATGTTAGCTTTTACTAATGTCGATTACGGCTCAAATTATATGACTTCTTTTACGTACTCATTCTTGATTTTTTTTTTGCTTTACTTTCATCATCAATCATCACACATTTCAAAAAACGTTGGCTGGAATGACTATAATGCGTTCGATTTTGCAACATCCTAGTATACTAATATATAGACATGACTTTCATATATACACAAACTTTAACACTGACTACACAGTCTGTGTAGGAATTAATAAGTGAGTCATAGAATAACAAACAACTTTTTTATTGCAGCTTGATTGAGCAAAATCACGGCATGCCGCCTTCCACCTCTGACCATCAGACGCGGCTACTTACTGGGGGTACGGTAGAGGACAGCTCTTCTCTCTGCGGCAATCATGGCCAGACTCATGATGGAGGCCGTGCCGAACACCCCGCCGCAAAAGCCGTACACCTGCCGAACGGGATCCCCGTCATTTTTCCGCGCGGTAATGCACATGAGCCAAACAAACTTTGACAAGGTTTAATGGATTGGTTAACTAAAAATGGCGACGGTATCCCGACCCAGGTCGAAGTCAATAGCGGGGTCCCACACCATACAATATCTCCGTTACATTCAAGCCAGTCAGTAACACGGAGTAAAATACTATCGGTCAGCAGATGGAGTAGCAATAGAGCACAAATCTTAACACATCTGTACTTCGTACACCCCCGTGGGAAAATCTGGCCAACCACTCATGCCCTCCTGCCCCGCGAGAGTGCCCGGCGACGGCGCGCTCAACCCCACCTGACACATCCAGACGGGGGCCGCCCAGCGGCGGCTGAAGCTGTTCACCACCAGCAGCGGGATCTGCGTGGCCGCCATGCCCAGGTCGCTAACGGTCAGACTGGTGATGAGGTGGTTGGCGCGCGTGCGCAGCGAGGCCGTCGTGACGAACAGCACCAGCGAGCCGGCGTTGGCCAACGTAGCCAGCAGGCCTGGACGGCACACAAAAATCATCCTTGTAAAAACAAAATATTTGAAAATTTTACCTACTTTTACACGTACCAGTACTTTCCGGTACGGTTATTGATCGAGCTAATATCCTAGAGCGCCGTGAGCCGGACTGCCCAGTGCTGAGCTAAATTCAGCCCGCTCTTTCTTTCTCGCTCTCTCCCTCTTTCCTTCGCTCCCTTCATCTTTTTCTCGCATAGTGACATTTCCACCCACATAGTTGTTTTTATAGCCCCTATAACAGCATATAGACCAAGACACCGCACAGAATCACGTCTCAGCACTGCGTTACTGACCTTATCTTGCGAAGACAAAATGAGTTTTCCTCTCATTCACAGACTTCCTACTGATATCAAATATCAATTGATCACGTGGGCGTGTGGGCGGACGTAATTCGGCGTTTTCGCAGATAATTCTAATGCAGCTGACATTCCCCATTTGTAATATCCGACACTGGGAGACGACAAAAGGCAATTACACCGCGCCGCTGGCATCGAGGATAATCCCGGAAATGGGGGGGGGGGGGAGGGGCAGCGTGGCGCGTGCCCCGGCTGGGGCGTGCCGCGCCGCTAGCAAACCTTGGCCCGAGTGTCTCGCCATCCCCTCTTATTAGAGGGAGGGAGGTCTTTGATGTCTCAGACTGTAACTTGTCACATCACCTGTCACAAACGGGTCAAATGAGCTCAAATTTCAAAAGAGGTTTCCAGATTTAGTTATTGTGTAACTATACAAGTGACTCAGTTTTATGGCAAATTTGATTTTGTTTTCTTTTTAATGTGGTCTACAACTTAAAAATATAATTTTAGCATGTGTGATTTTGGCGGCTAATTTGACCGATTAGAAAAAGTATGCACAAAATTGACCTTTTCGTTACCTAGGGGCTAGGCATAACGAAAAAATGGGACCTGCAAGCAAAATTGGTCTACGAATCAATATGTACATCTATAAGCTTTTGGGACACCGACCGGTATCATGCCAGCATAACAGGAAACAAAACAATCGAATTATCTATACCAACCAGTAACCACATACCACGAATTACCGCTAGTGATTCAACAACCAATTGACAATAGTCGCCTGTAGTTGTATATCGGCCGTCCGCGCGGCGTTCCGACCACGTCAGCGACTGATCTGCACTCGTCCGAGAGGATGGCTCGGCAGCAGCGTGACATGCATGTCTCGAGTACTGGTCAGCGCCGCATCAGCACACCGCGCGGCCCCAGCCGCACGGACGCACCGCCGGACTGCGAGAGGTCGTCTCCGCACCGTCGGGCTGCGAGAGGCCGTCTCCGCACGGACGCTGCGCCGGACTACGAGAGGTCGTCTCCGCACGGCGCTCCGCCCGACTCCGGGCAGTTCACACGGTCAAGGACGCTCTGTCGGTCTCCAGGCAGCCGTCTCCACACTGCTGTCTTCTGGCCGCACAGCCGGCAGTCTGCACCTCGACGTAAAAGCGTGGATTCCACGGCACTGTTTTTATATAACAGAAACACAACAATTTTCAATCCCCCTTTTAAATTCAGGAACTTTCCGCGCAATAAAAATAACCATAGTGCCATCTTAAGTATTGAACTGCAGGATCATGCAATCTGCTATACACAAGGTGTACATACTTTCCGTTTCAGCGAAATGAATCCAAAATGCTTTGACTGGTACTCAAACCTACTGAACTGAATTCACGATGCAAAAATTATACTTTTACCGGGTGACCCATTAAAAACGTCCCGAACCTTCCAAGTCGTATCGTTTCTAAAATATTCATCAAAAATGCATAACATTTTGTGATACCGAAGTTTGACCTATAGGAAAAAAAAACTTTGAAATGGCCTCCTTACAATGAAATACCAAATGATGACATACCTCATGAAACAATTATTGATGGTAAAGTCTGTCTGGCTTATTTTGATAATAACCTGTGGTCGAGATCATCAATAATTATTTCATTATGTCATCATTTGGTATTTCATTCTAAGGAGGCCATTTAAAAGTGTTTTTTTTTTCATAGAACTTAACCTATGCCTTACATACAGCAAGTGCTACAACAAGGAAGTTTGACCTATATTGATTAATTATTGGTATATCTATCAATGGCCTATTGCTCAAGGATGACAAGGAAAATATTTTACATGCTTCATATTTGAATTGAGCACTACAGATATCACCATCGGGCCTTATACATCCTTATACATTGGGCCTTATGCATACATGTAGATGATCTGTGGCTTTTACCAAAGGACGCATTGAAAACCTTTCTTTTCGGCGAGCGAGATAGGGGAGACCCGGGAGGTATGGGCCCGCTGGAGATATGGGCCATCGCAGTTTTGAAGAAGTGTTGCGTATTTTTACACATTTGACGGCGTTAACTGGTAGCAGCCATTCCATTATACAACCTACGTTATTTTCAAAATCTTCCTCAGTCTTCTTTGGCAATGGGCGGTGATAAAGCGTTTTTGCCCTCTTCGAGCAAAATACGGTACATACAGAAAAGTCGTGATAAATTTGAACCAGGCTCGTTTTATGATGCCAGACCATTGCTTACATAAAGTTTAAAGCATGCCTGTTAAGACTGGATATACAATTTGAGGTTTTCTTGCAAGATTATGAGCTGAGATGCTACGCACATTCTGGCGTCCTAACCGGGAGGTTCGGGCCACCCACCCTGTTGATCCTAAATAAATTAAAAGATGCTTTCATTGAATGTCCCCGTCAATAAGTTTTATTTTTGTCGCGCATGTCGAAAATTTAACTTCAAATTTCATTCGAACAGAAAAATATTATTGATTTTATTTCATGGTGCATGATTGAGTTTACCAAAATACATATGGGCCCAAAAGACCTCCATGAAGTAAGCTGTTGGCCGCTTATGCGGTTCCTGGGCTCAAAGAGAGATCAAGGTAGAAACCAGCTTCGAGTATTGTTCTCAATGTCGAGAAAAGAATATGAAACATGGCACCGGCCCATACCTCCCGGGCCATGGCCCATACCTCCCGGTGTATTTTGATGGATCGAAAAAGCACATGATTTATTGAAAGTTATCTCGAGACAAAATAGTTGCTCCCAGATGCCTAATATCAGGCATAGGTTGCAGGCGAAAGTCAATTTCACGTACACAGAGTGAAAAACCGGGTCTAGCCACTGCCCACTGGAAGAAAATTGCTTTTTCACAAAACCGGCCCATACCTCCCGGGTCTCCCCTACATATATGGGCTCGGTCTGTGAGCTCTACTGCACGATCGCGAAATTCCGTGCTATTTCAGAAATTGAGTGAAAGGTTTAACGTTCGAACATTGCCAAAAACCGTCCATCCGACGCATCGAATCCATTCGGGTCGGAACGTGACCACTGGTATCGGCCGCACACTATTCCCATCAGCGGCGAACAGAGAGTTCCGAATCGATTCCAGTCCCGATCGGTCCGAGGATCCAACGCTCTCCAGGCTGAATGAGACGGACGAGCAAAAGTGTCCCTGGTGAAATACCTACATTGAAAATTTTGATCGAGAATTAACGGCTCAGCTTGGAGAATTTCAATTCAATTGGAGAAAGCTCATTTACCATCTTTGAACAGATCAATTTCATGAATATAGTTTTAGATAGTTCTGCCAAAGCAGCCCTAAAAAAAAAATAGGATTAAGACCAATCTTCTCGAAGCGTTTTTGAAGTTTTTCATTTTGCGGTAAACTGTGAGCGAAATTTTACCTCAAGTAACAAATTAGTTTCAGAGTGACAGACAATGTGGACAATAGTAATAAAACGTTGAACAATTTATCATCATACGAGTATGGAAAAACTGCGCGGAAGGTTTCACACATCAACACTGCCTGCAAAATGCGCAAGAGATTGCGTATTCTCGAAGTAAAGCTTCGTTATAGTGATAGAGAGTAAAAACGCAAATCTCGCCACGCCAGTTATTCAGCGACACTCGCTTCACCGCACCCAATCCAGCGACGACGGTGGGCATCACGATCATTTGTTTTTCGGAGCGCGAAAACCAATGCCGTCCATTATGCGCCGCATGTTTTCCCCATTTTCCGTCTGATCGGCGCCAAGCATCGTTCAGTCGCCCCTCGTGCCGCGTGCGCGCTGCGGCGGGGCCGACGCGCGACGATTAACGAGTCCGTCTCCAGCCAAGATCGTTACGGATTATCGCCCGGCTGGCACTCTGACCGTCAGCGTGGCGCTCCTGTCGACCGTAGCACGCCGCCGCGCCGACACGCCGACACGATGACGCGAAATTGGGCCGACAGACAAAATTCGGCCGTGCCCGATCAGCCAGCCAGCCGACGGAAACGAGCCCACTCTCCCCTCTCTGCCTCTCTCTTCGCATTCTGAGCTCTCGTTGATAATTATCCTCAATAGAAATCCATATCCGCTGCCAATAATGTAAGAGAATATAATAAGTGAGAATATAAAAACATAAGAATTAAGTGAATAAAACTTGAAAAGATGACTAATTGTTAGCCCTGTTTTGGGAGACACCATTAGAAAAGGTATAAGTTTGAAAAAAACTATGGTCTAATAATTGAATTAAAAGAATGCAAAATGTACGTGAAAGTATGCAGCTATCTTCTCAACATTTTGCATTTTGATTCTAACGTTTTTGATAGTACCTATACGGTTATTCTATTTCATTATAAAAAAAAACACTGAAAACGCCCTCCCCTCCCCTACACACAAACACCAACAAAACGATATACAAAAAAGAAAAGAAAAGCCTTTGGTTTGGAGCAGCAAGGTTTCACGACACGACATATGTAATGCAAAAAACGAAAGCATACATGGCGCCCACCTAACCCATAACAAAGCACGACACAAATAACAGCTCGTCCGACTCACCGATGACGAGGTAGACTGATCCAGTGACGGTGTGCCAGATGGGCAGCGGCGCTGGGAACTGGCGCCAGTGGTCGGGCACGATCTGCAGCAGCGGCTGCGGCACCGTCTCCAGCAGCGAAACGTCGCGCCGGTACAGCCAGCTGGGGAACTCACTGCAGCGACGGGGACGCGAACTCAGTGGCGGCGGGCACTCACTGGCGGGGAGCGGGAACTCGGTGACGGCGGGGCGGGGAACTCAGTGACGGCGGGCACTCACTGGCGGGGAGCGGGAACTCGGTGACGGCGGGGCGGGGAACTCAGTGGCGGCGGGCACTCACTGGCGGGGAGCGGGAACTCGGTGACGGCGGGGCGGGGAACTCAGTGACGGCGGGCACTCACTGGCGGGGAGCGGGAACTCGGTGACGGCGGGGCGGGGAACTCAGTGACGGCGGGCACTCACTGGCGGGGAGCGGGAACTCGGTGACGGCGGGGCGGGGAACTCAGTGACGGCGGGCACTCACTGGCGGGGAGCGGGAACTCGGTGACGGCGGGGCGGGGAACTCAGTGACGGCGGGCACTCACTGGCGGGGAGCGGGAACTCGGTGACGGCGGGGCGGGGAACTCAGTGACGGCGGGCACTCACTGGCGGGGAGCGGGAACTCGGTGACGGCGGGGCGGGGAACTCAGTGACGGCGGGCACTCACTGGCAGGGAGCGGGAACTCGGTGACGGCGGGGCGGGGAACTCAGTGACGGCGGGCTCGGAGCGGGAAACTCACTCACTGGCGTCTGACCCAGAGCAGGAAGATCAGTTGCGGGAGCTTGGAACTCAGCGCGGAAAATATCAAAATAATTACGCTTAAAGCACCGATCGGAGCACACAAATCAAGTGGGGAAACTGGACTCAGAGCAGTACCTAAAAATAAGCAGAATCCGACAGAACCTCATCGATCGGACCTAACCAGACCAAAAGAATAATAATGAAATAGAGCAACTAGGGCAATAAACTGAATCCGACAGGATGAAGTGGGTAGCAACCCTAACAGCCTAACTGGAGTGAGCGAGCCTAGCGTACCAAACGAATCCAACACAGGCTGACAAATGCCAGAGGCCGGACTGTCGGCCAGAGTCGGGCCGCGTCAGCCCATTGGCCGCAGTGACAACGAGGCCATGACGGTACCGGTGTCCGGCAGCGCTCCGCCCAGGTTCGATGTGATTATCGAACATGCTTAAACGAATTGGCCGACGAAAACTAAATAAATGTCACCGACTTAGCGACGCAGTCCGAACGGCGCGGCGCTCATGAAGCGGTCGGATGGTCTGCTCAGCTTCGGGAGGCGACATATGAAAGAAATGGCAATCGGCAACGATGATACTTGCAACTGTGTCTACGGCCGTTTACGCAAAGCGTTCCCACGATTTCTGTGATCACGTTGTTAAGCTCTAAAATAAACCATTGGGCAATCTTGCGAAGTTACGACAGAATGTAGACTTGACAATGCTCGAAATTCCATGACTTTTTTTAAACAAACTCAATCTTCTTTTCATGCGAAGAAAACGGCACCAGTAAACTGCAAAGTAAATCACGACATAATAATCATAGACGGGTTCTGTATATCAAGCGCTAGGAAGCATAGTACCAAGAGCTGGTGTGTTTGTTGACCAGCCATCGACAGCAAAGGTCTGTCGAAGGGAGGTGTGATGTAGCCTTGATCACTGATATCGTTATTGGAGGACGCGGGTACTAACTGTTTAGGCAGGTGGCTAGGTAGGCACCTGATGCTTCTCTGTCGTGTGTCAGTGGGCATGCAACTAGGTAATAGGTATAGAGGCAAGTGCAATGTGGCACGACTTCGATTCATACATTATACTGAACTGAACTGAATGGTACTGAATGGACAGTTTTCTGGTGAAACCTGCACGTATGCTATGATTAGCTTATGAAGAGTGGCCGCTGTATGAGCAAGCATATCAATATGAGCCAGATTCCGGCTCGGAGCGGAAACATTTTCATTATTTCCGAACACGGCGCCATGCGCACATACCTACAAATGGAATGTGAGGGTGTCCAAGCTTTACATATGCACCTATATCTTTTCGTTTTTTTATCAGATGCACCAAAAAAGTCAATATCCTGCTACATTAGGAACTGGAAATTGGTACAAAAGGCGGGGGGGGGGGGGGGGTCGTACAAACTTTCTTCGTGGAGGTACGCGTTATAAAAACAGGCCCTGGCCTGGCGAGGGTTGACCTGGTGACTTGACCTAGCCTTGGGGTCGAAAATTTTACATACGATGTTAAATTGATGCATGATAGACTATCACTAAGTTTCGCGGCGCTGCACGGCCCAAAAAAAGACAGAATCAGACCCCTCCGAAGAACAGAGAATAGGTAATTTTTCGCTTCGCACTTGCCAGAGCAAAAATTAATCTCTGCTGATTAGCAAAACTCCACATGATACCGCATTTCGGTTCACTCATGTCGACATGTGACAAATGGCATCGACGCTCCGCACTACTGCCGTCAATACATCTCAGCTCACTTTGTCAGCATTATCGGAGACGGCACGCCACCAACTGACAGCTCCGACTCGGTATTACCGCTGACAGCCACTGCGCTCGGTGCCGACACTCGGTGACACTGCCCGGACCGCGCTGCGGCGCTATAACCTACCTGGAGTTCCACAGCGGCGGCTCGGCGCCGGGAGCAGCCGTGTCGTTCTCCATGACCCCCCAGGCGGCGGTGTCAGTGTCAGCGGTGTCAGCGGTGTCAGCGGCAGAGGCGGAGACACCACGGAGCCGAGCACGGCCCGACAGTGGCGGCCGGCGCCGACCGACGCCGAATATATCGCCCGACTTCGACGCACCTTCAGCGCGAGACAGCGCAGGCCACCGACTGGGAGAGAACGAGGGAGGAGGAGGGCGAGAGAGGGGAGGAAAGGAAACCGCTTGGTTGTGACGTGCCCCGACTAAGTTCATGAGAAAATATGCACAAAAAAAAATTGTTTGTCCAATCGGTCACCCAGATATTAAAGGTGTCCCACTTCTCCCGCGTCCCAGTTATCCCCACTCTCCCCTACTGGGCTAATAAACTATACAATTTGTATCGATCCACAATGCACAATGGAAGGACATTTCAGGTTACAAGTCATATGTAGTATGTAACAACCCTCAGCAGACTGCGTGGTAGGTACCTATTACTTTTTTCGACAAAACCGATAATAGCTCAAAGGCTATGTTATCAGACGGTCGAAACTCACTGCAAATAGATGCGCCATGCTCCACTCCTTCGATTGGGTCTATCACTGAACAAAGTATATACTCCATGTGTGGCAAAAAAATGCAAAAGTTTGTTTGTGGGGCAAATATAAACTTTTGGGTTTATTTGCCAAACTGGATGGAAAATTGAACGATGAAAATGCCAATCTAAGGCGCGGAGTCTGGCGCGTCTTGCTGATCGATTTCTGAGAGACCGATAGCATAGTATTCGCGTTATTCTCGGTTTTGTCGAGAAAAGAATACCTACCACGCTGTAGGAGTTCCATACACTCGCGCACACCTGCTGCGCAGGTGTCGCCGTGTCGGTGTGCCACCGCTTGTGTGCATATCCGCGCAAACACACTGCGCAATGCGCATGTAGCACGGTGCTGGCTAGACCGTCTGGCCAGAAGCGTTAGGCGCATGCGCGCAGTTCAACGTTTTGTCTAACGTCCGTGTTTTATGTAAAATAGTGAAATATGAAATTTTGTAAATACACACTCTTCTACTCATCAAAACAAGGCTTTGAAGGAAGACGGAAGACGAGGAAGCGAGGGCGACATGAAGAGCCCTGGTGGCTGACCGAGTGCTCGGAAAGGAACACGTTTCCCGATCACCACGATCGGATGACTGTAAACTGGGACGACCGTCTCCCAGATTACAACGCAGTTTGGTTAAAGTAATTTCAAGCGACGACTATAACTTTGCCGTTACGCTTTTCTTCAGTGTCTTTATCACTAGTTAACTAAATTGCTTGGGCATAGCACGGGTAAAAATCCGCTGAGCGGACAGGACGACACCCCAGGCGCAGCTGACAACGCCGTAGTGGGGCAGGCTGGGCGGCGGTCAAGGCCGGGCCGCGTCGCTCTTCCCGCTCTGAGCCGCTCGTTTCCTCCCGCCCTGCGGGCTGCTCCTCTCGGCCTCCAGACCGCGCCGGCCGACCGTTCCGGTCACCGAGGGGGAAGGGGGCCCGGAGCTCATCACCGCACGCCAGGGGGAGGGGGAGGAGCTGTCTGCGCCACCGTTCCGCCCCGCCCAGGAGACTGTGCGGCGCTGACGCGGGTGGATGGGATAGGCCCACACCGACACGGCCGCGGCGCCGCCAGCGCCTGGAACTGACCGCCGTACCGCCTCGAATTGACCACCGTATGTCGGCCTACCACCGCCGTAGGTACAGTAGGTCTATTAAAAAAGTCCCCAGCACCAGTGGGCGCTGCCTTCGCTGAGCCGAACCCCCGTCTGCCTGTCCCATATCGCGCCGGGCTCAGGTCAGGTAGGGTCAGCGGGACCGCTCGGTCCGGCCCGCGGGCGGTGGACGGGCGGCCGGTAACGCTTTCCGCCAGCCAGCTGTAGAATCCAACAAACGGGACGGCCACCGCTCAGCGCAGCGAAACCGGTGTTAAAGAATGGCAGTAGATGTTCATGGCCACAATGATTATGAGATAGTCATTGTTAGCCCGTGCCCCACAGGAATGCCTCGACTCTCACGCCCTGTTGGAGGGAAAGTGGGGATTGAGCATCATTCTTATAACTCAGCTTTGGGCATTTAAGTGATATTCGAAGTAGCGTCAAAAGTAGCAAAAAGAAGAAAAATACTTCAGCCAATTTTAGATCGGGTCAGAGCAAAAGATCGTGTCACCAGAGGTCATCGATGGTAAAATTTTGCTTGGACAGGGTGCGTTGCGCGCACCGGTGCATTGGGTTTCCAATTTCCATGGAAACATCAACAGACTCGGAAGCTCGTAACGCTAGCGTGGAGCCGAATTCATATCAACCGCCGCAACAATGCATGGCAGCGCAGGGCAGCGGCGCGGGGCCGTGAAACACCGCCCAGGGCTATCCATGTGTCAGGGCAATCCAACCCACGTGATGGGCTCGGCCCCAGCGGAGCATGAGGTCCAGGCCCCCTGTCTCCCCCTAATTCCTGTCATCCTTCCCACTCTGAAATCGACCGAAAGAGCATAACCTAACACAATGACAACAGTTAGCTCGTTTACCGCTATGTCTGAATAATATTGTCAGATTTAATTAGGGTCAACGGCTTAGCACGTAAATAACAGCAACTGCCACCATCGGTATTTAGAGAAAACCAATTGCTTTTCCACAAACACTAAAAGTTTTAAGCTAAACTTGCATGAAATCAATTTTACCAGCCTCGTGTTCCTCTTATCAAAACGCTTCGAATGAATCGAAAGTTGATCTTTAAAGGTCATTTGAAGAAATTGGCCTATGTTCAAAGACATGACCTGACCAGAAATGGCCATGATGCATAGCAGGATATTAGATCCGTATCGTGGAACTTTACAAACACTTTAGATGATTTCATAACTTAACCCTCGCCCGTAAACGGTGTTTTGCCACCTTCGCCCATGCAGGGCGAAGGTGGCAAAGGTGGGGTTGGTGCGACCCCCCCTGGCGTTTGAAAACGGAGCGTCGTAGAGCTTAGTGGAAGAGACCAACGGATTGCTCTCAACGAGATCTCGCGATTGGTGGTATATTTTTGGTCCTAGGTCAACATTTGACCTACTTATGACCGGTCAAAGGTCAAATTTTCGGAAAAATCTAGCTTTTTTCAGATTTCCGCGCCGATTGCGGCAAAACGGTAAGAGATATCGACTTGAAACCTTCACTATCGTGATCCCTGGTCAATTCTCTATCGTTTGGTGTGTATTTCGATGTCAAAACTCTAAAAATAATGCGTTGGGAGCATCGGAAGTCTGCAAGGTCATTTGTGCATTGGGTCACGTCAAGCGTGTGACGTCACTGACCTGACCCTGACCCAAATTGAACTACAAGAAACAACCGACGATGCCTGAAATGGATAGCAAATTCGAATTCAGGGCATCAAAATACCCCGAAAAGGCATACAAGTGTAAGAAGTCATTACAGGTCAACGGAGGTCACTGACCTTACCTTGACCTTAAGTAACCTTCAAAATGTCAACGGACATTGTGCTAATGTCAAATCAGCCAGTTGTGATTCTAAAACAATCCATCAGTGTGTCAGGTCAGTCGGCATTTATACCAATGTGAAGCAATCTCCAATTTAGCGTAAATCTGGCCGGAGGTTGTTCCCTTTATGACGTCATAACTCCGTGACCTGACATGATCTTGACAAAAAAACAAAAGTTGCGCAAAGGATGCCCCAGAGGGCACTGAAAATTTGAGCAGGCTATCTGAAACAGTTCGGCGTGTAGCTAAGAAAAACCTCGGGGGGGGGGGGGGGGGGTGCACCCCCCCCCCTACATGGCGAGGGTTAAGCATGTCTATCAAAAATATTTATTACATGGCTCATGTGTAAGCTGGGTGTGTGATCATGCTTACGAGTATGTTGAACGCAACTGATAATGTTCTGTTGGCCACAATTTCTATATTTAATTTATCCTCCCGGATTTCATATTTTTATTAATGACACCTTGACGATGTCGAGAAAAAAAAAACGCTTAGGAGATTTAACAGCCATACATTCAGTATAAGGAAGGGTCAAGGGTGCTATACTCCTTCCGTCCTCGCTATCCTCAGGAAAAACCAATCCGCATCGCACCTAGTCTTCATGCTTCCCTCTCTGGACTAGAGGTCACCCCACCAGCCAACCTGTAGTTGATGTCGGTTCCATTCCAGGACACATAATCCTCTTCGGGTGACCGTTTGGGAGACGGCTGGGCCGTCCCGACAGGGCAATCGTCCCACGGGAACAGTCACGCTTCCGCAGATCACTGTCGCTGGCTCGCACAACCAAATTACTACACCAGAGCATAGTTATGTCATAGCTCTGCAAGGGCTTTCTCAGACCGAAAAAGATGGCTCCCAACAAAACAAACAATTTTCTCATTCAGTATTGTATCTCATCAGGCACCACATGTTTTCAGAGTGTTTATTATGCGTTCGTTAAAAAAGCGCAATTCAACTTTCTCCCATCGACTTTAGCGATCTCAAAATTGACCCGGCCTTTCTGTCAGCACTGTCAAACTTGCAAAGTAAACGTTTCAAATACATATTTTGTTGCCCATTGAAATCGTTGAAGGTTCTAAAGCGATCGGTTAGTCGATGTATTTAGATAGATGAGCACAGGAACTTTCCTTGAGGTAAGGTTACTCGACGTGACCTGGTGTTATGACCTTGAATTGAAAGACTTGGGCGGGAAAAAATGGGTCATTTGAAGTCTTAAAATGTTAGATTTTAATAATAATTGCAAACACTATCCCGGCCAAATAGTTAGTGAGAAGGGAGCGATTCCCCAACCCCATGTTTAGCTCCTTTAATTGAGCTAACTGCTAGAGCCTCGCGGAAAAAAAACTAGCGCTTGCGTCGTTACGTGACGCAGCGACTGTTACCCCATTTTAAAATATCAGCGACCTCTTAGGGCAGGTCAAGGGCCCCAAGGCATTGGATCGGTTTTTGGTGAATAACTTCGCAAAAAAAAAAATGGTCGCATTATCGTCATTTCGATACAATCGTGTTTTCTGTTCTCAGACGCGTCGATGTATATGCTTTTTTGCTTAGTTGAAGCAATTTAGGATGTTAAGGTCAATGTCATGTTAGGGCAACACAGGTCACGAAGCTGTTGAAAGGTCATGTTGCATAACATTTGATTCGGCAAG